TTTCTGAATTTGAAATAAAAATTCAAATTTATAAAGATTTTAATTTCAAACAATTTTAAAATTCAATTATTTCCAAAAACTCTTGCTATTATGCTTTTAATCTTCAATTATTATCTAAAATTTTAACTGAAATACATTTATAATTCATTTCTATGAGAAAATTCTACGAGAATTCAATTATTTAATCACAAAAATAAATAATCTATTGAATAATTAAATGTTTTTTAAAATTGAATTCTCAAAAAGAATTTTATAAACAAATTCTTAAATAATTGAATTCTTTTGCAAAATTTTAATAAAATTTTTTAAGAATAATTACATTTTTCGAAGAATTCGATTAAAATTGTATTAAAAATAATTGAAATTCTGCGATGAGTTTTGTTATTTATGAAAATAACTGTATTCCTAAAAAGAGTTTTATTATTTACGAAAATAATTGAATCCCTGTAAACATTTTATTTATTTTTTTATTTATTCATTTTATTATTTATGAAAATAATTGAATTATTGCGAAACAAATTAATAAAAAATTTGTAAAAAATTGAATTTTAGCTTAGAATTTTATTAAATTTTTTTCGAAATAATTGAATTCTTTTGGAAAATTTTATTAAAATACTACATACCAAAAATCATTGTAATTTTTAAAAAATTTTCCAAATATTATATCCGTACAATTAACGAACTTTTCGTCCTTTTTCAATCAAATTACCGACTTTACGTACCTTTTTTTAAAAAAACTGATTTTTACGGACTTGAATCAAATTTACGGACCTAGTTCAAGCCCTGATATAGAAAAAAATTCTGTATTTCGCTATTTAATTTTATTATTTTTCAAAATTATTCTCTTGTGAAATTAGTATAATTTATAACTTGTTCGATGTATCTTAAATTGTTGCGTAAATTTTAATAAAGCAATTCAAATTGAGGACACGATTCCATTGATATTACTCAATCTCGCGCGTGCAATGAAGATAAAAGGGTGACTTATTCCCCGTCTCTGCAATTTGAGCTCGCGTGTACGCAGGAGTCACAAATTAATTTTCCTCTGCGAAGAAATTTATTTTTCTCCTTTTTTCTCTCGTTCACAGGGGGGAAAAAATAGCAAGAAGAAGAAAGAAGAAGAAGTTAGCATAGAATACTGCGGGATGAATAAATGGCTGAAAGGTGAGATGCTTCAAGGCGATAGAACGTTTTAAGAGAGCGCGAACGAAACGTCGATATAAAGTCGTCGCCCGGTTTTCAAGCGAGAGCGTTAATCGCCGACTTTAATAAATCCCGTTCCCCCGGACCATCAATTTCTGAATGCCGCCAGGATTGTTAACACGTCGTAGCTCAACCCGAGAGATAGAAATATCACTCTCTCATGCCAGTGCACGCAACTGCAAAGAAAATTATTTTTAAAATGGCCTACGTTATACCCTGAGACTTATATACTATATACATTATACACCTATATAGTCATAAAAATGTTTACAGAGGGAAAAAAGAAAGCGGGCAATAATGTCTTAGAAGCAATGGGCAGAAAAACATTTATTTTTCTATTAAGCTATATGCTGTTTGTGTGTGTGTGTGTGCTTTCGCGAAAAATATTTGAAATATCACTTGAACAATGCGCGCCTATATATACATGACTGCTATCCATATATGAGTAACAAGAACTTATTTACTATCAGATTCAGAGACATGTATATTGTGGATTTCAACTGTTATATGCAGAATACTTCAATTTCCGCGTGAACACAGGGGCTTGTTAATGGTAGTTGAACAAAAATTCACACAGTGATTTGTTATCACGAATTTTATCGCAGAAAATTATTTCATTTCGTATGCGAATTATTTACTTGTAGAATAATTTAATTGCGTAATTTTATAGATTCATTTTGTTTTCTTCATCATTTTTATACTTTTACTTATACATATGGTTGCCACAATAATTTTATTTTTCCCTGATTTCCAGACAAAACTTAAAGAAAAAATAAATAAATTTAAAGAATACTCATTAGTAGCAACAATTCGCGCACCAAAGCGCGGGGCTAACTTCTTACGTACTTTTTTAAAATAAAATTAGCAATTTAAAAAAATAGAATTTAAAAATTTATAATTCAAATTTTTTTTAATAAAAATAAAGTATGAATTGGAATATAGATTAATACTATTATAACCACAATAATAATAAATTCTGAGACAGGGGATTCAAGAAAAAGTCAGACAATTGTATTAAAAGTACTCGAAAAAATTAAAATTTTAGAATTCATAAGAAAATTCTGAATTTTGGTGTCTTTCTTGTTTGCCTCATAAACTATGCAATCACCACGAATTCTAATACAAAATCTTCAATTTTTTCTATTTCTGTCAATAATTTCTTTTTAAATAACTTCATTCTTAAAGAACTACCATAAATCTCAAAAATTCAATTATTTGCAAAAATTTTTAAAAAATTGTACTCAAACATTTAATTATTTTCATAAATAATAAAGATTTCACAGGAATTCAATTAATAACAAATTTTTTATAAATTTCTTCAAAATAACTCAATTAATTTCATAAATAATAAACTTTTTTTATGAATTCAATTATTTTGATAAATAATAAATTTGTCTTAGAAATTCAATTATTTTCATAAATAATAAAGCTCATCGCAGAATTTTAATTATTTTTAATATATAATATTTAATCATTATTTATTTATTTAGTTTTAGTACAATTTTAATCGTTTTTTTATTCTTAAAAATTTGATTAAAATTTGTCAAAAGAATTCAATTATTTAAAAATTTGTTGATAACATTCTTTATAAGAATTAAATTTTAAAAAAACATCCAATTATTTAATAAATTATCTATGATTGTATTTAAATATTTGAATAATTTTGAAAAGATTTCAAATTAAAATATTAAAATATTTGAAAATTTAAATTTTCTATACTTTTAACTGTCAATTCTGAAGAATTAATTTTTTTGAAATAGTTTAATTTAATTTTTTTTTAATAATTTAAACTTTTTATTTTCTAATATATATATTTTATTGAATCAATTATGTTCAAAAAATTTTTTAAATTCTCTTAGAAATTTCAATTATTTTTAGAAATAAGAAAATACTTTTCCGAAATTCAATTATTTTCAAAAATTTTCCTCTTTTCAATGATTTTCAATATCTACTATTTGAATAAAATTTTCCAAAAGAATTCAATTATTTAAAAAAAATTTAATAAAATTCTACGCAAGCATTTAATTGTTTTCATAAAATAATAAAAATTTCACTGGAATACAATTATTTACAAATTTTTTATAAATTTTTTAGCAACAATTCAATTACTTTCATAAATAATAAAATTTTTATAGAGATTCAATTATTTTCGTAAATAATAACATTCTTTTTATGAATTCAATTATTTTTATAAATAGTAAAATTCGTTGTTGAATTTCAATTATTTTTAACACAATTTTAATCGAATTCCTCGACAAATGTATAATTATTCGTAAAAATTTTATTAAAATTCGTCAAAAGAATTCAATTATTTAAAAATTTGTTGATAAAATTCTTTATAAGAATTAAATTTTAAAAAACATTCAATTATTCAATAAATTATCTATATTTGTATTTAAATATTTGAATAATTTTGAAAAGGTTTCAAATTAAAATATTTGAAAATTTGAATTTTTTACACTTTTAACTGACAATTCTGAAGAATTAATTTTTTTGAAATAGTTTAATTTAATTTAAAATTCTAGAAAATAATAATTGAATTGAAATGATGAAAATAATTTTTAAGAAGTTACAGTAACAATATTCTTGATATAAAATAATGATAATACTTTTATAAGTTGTTTAATTTCAAAAAGGTTTGAATGAAAAATTTTTAAAAATCTTAATTCCTGTGGAAAAATAATAATTAAATATTTATTTAAAAAAGAAGTTATTGATGTTTTCGAATAATTTTACAATTAAAGAAATTCGTAAATAAATGTAAAAGAACATTTTTTTAAGTAAACTTTTTTCCTTTATTTTCTAAAAATTTTTAAGTTTTCAATTTCATTTTCAATTAAAATTTGCAATTGACAAATAGAATTTATAAACATTTTTTTCCTTTATTTTTAAAAAACTTTAAATTTTATTAAAGTAATTCTCATTAAGAAATATAAATGATGCAAATTATTTCGTTATAAAAATTGAGAATTTTCTACAAAAATATTAAATAACGGGACAGTGTTTTTTTTACTCAAAGAAAAGAATCAGTTTGTGATTGTAAATATTGTTATTGAGAAATAAAAATTATCCATAAAATGGGTGTATTTCCTATTTCTTAATTATAATTTTTTAACAATTAACAATTTTCTAATACTTTTATAAATAAAAAGGAAAAATATTTGCATAATTTAGATCAGTCAAATGTAATTTGTTATAAAAAAGCATATAAAATACAAAATTTATTTGTTAATCATATATTTTTTTAATTTTCTAATTTCAAATATTATTTTATATTATTTATTATGAAAAATACCTGCATATTTTCGATTTGTAAAACAATATTTTCTAAAGAAAAAAAAAGCATAGGTACACAAAAACAAACTTGAAAGTGTGGACAGAGAGAATGAAGCACGAAGATTATTATAGTTAATTAATTCCAGACAAAATTTAAAGAATAAATAAATAAATTTAAAGAATATTTATTATAAAACATGAAGATATTGATCACTTCGAGTCGAAGACTCGGAGTTGTCGATATCTTCATGTTTTATGAATGAAAATATGATCCCCAAGTTTTGAACGTTCAAATGAACGAAATATTTTTTATTAAAGATATTTTTATGAATTACTAATCACAAAAAAATATGGAAAAAATTCTGTCAAAGTGAAAGTGACAGTGAAAGAGAGAGTAAACCTAAAAATCTATCAAAGTGAAAATAAAAGTGAAAACATAAATCTATGAACAAAAATCTTCATCTATCTAATGAAAGTGAAAGTGAAAACGAAAGTCAAAGTAGAAATGAAATTACATAATCGACACTCAGAAAATTTTTATTTTGTTATATTTACAGCAGATGGAAAAAAATTGGAAAAACTCGAATTCTAATAAAATAAATCGAAAAAAGATGAATTTTTTTAACACAGTCGAAAAAGTTTTACAATCCAAGGCCGGTTAATATATTTGACATTTTCAAATTGCCTTTTTTGGCAATTGATTTTGACAAAATAAATAAATTTCAAGGCTCATAAAAATCCTCTGGAGGTGGAAGAGGTTCGTGTTCTTTCATTACATTAGTCACTGGATCTATTTCTCCACAAGCCATTTCAGTGCATATATGAATATTTCCCTTTCCACAGATACATGTATTACAACCATCGTAAAAGCTCTTTCCAACTACACAATTTCTTTCTCCATCTTTTTTTTTTTAGAGAGAAAAAACAAAAAAAACACGTTAGTAAAATCAAACCAAAAATTTTCCAGTAAAAATCAAAGAGCAAATTGAATAATTTAAAACTCACCAGCTTGGTTCATAAATGCAATGAAGAACATTAGCACAAATAAAGAGAATATTTTCAATTTCATTTTTTTAAATTAGAAAACTATTAGTATTTTTGCGAAAAAAAGATGAAGGAAACTCTTTTTTAACCAATAACTTGTCAACAGTTGCGAGTCTCGTTAATTACTGACTGCCATAATAATTAATCTGCACTGACCCATGTGACTCTTTTATCGTCGATTGAATATCGATGTTAATTATACAACAAACACAGTTGAAATTTTGCAACCGCATCAAGAATATTTGTGATAAAGAAAAGAAGAAATTGATTTTGCTATGCAATAAATATTAAGGTCGCATTCGAGAAATATAATAATCATCTAGACCGAATTGCGCGATTGTTATAATGCAAGTCCTTGAAAATTTAAGTGGATATTTTTATTGGACAAAGTACACTGTGAACAATAAATCATACTATCAGCTTACTTTTGACTGGAACCGATTACGTTAGAACCATTTTTTAAAATTATTTTTAAGTCTTGAAAGTAAAAAGCTGCAAGCTTTTAAAGCTTAAAACAAGACTAAGTTAATTTTCAAGCATAAAAGCTTGTAGGCATTTTAGCTTCTAGCCTTTCTAAGATTTAGAAAAAAAAGTTTTTACTTTAAAGCAAAAAAAAATTTTAAACAGCCTTGCCATAACAAATTTAATTTTGATTTTCCTTGACTATTCTCTCATTTCCAGATAAAACTTTGACTTTTTCCCTGACTCTAAAGAAAATTTAAATTCACTCTAAAAATGATTAGATACACAAACAAATTTTCTAGCACATTTATTTACAAACATTTTTAATTGTACAATTATTCGAAAACATCTTCATTTTTAAAAAAATATTTAACCATTATTATTTTTTCAACGGAATTAAGATTTCCAAAATTTTCTAAATCATAAACTTTTTGATATCCAATAACTTATAAGAATATTGTTACTGTAACTTCTTCAAAATTATTATCATCATTTCAATCTAAGTATTATTTTCTACAATTTTCAACTAAAATTCTTCATTGAAATAAATTATTTTTAATAATTTTTGAAAAAAAATTCTTTGAGAATTTTAAGATCTTTTCGTTTGAAATTCAATTTTACGAAATTTCTAATAAAGAATTTTATCTACAAATTTGTTAATAATTGAATTCTTTCGACAAATTTTAATAAAATTTTTAAGAATAATTACATTGTTCAAGGTACTCTATTAAAATTATATTAAAAATAATTTCAATTCTGCAATGAGTTTTATTATTTACGAAAATAATTAAATTTCTAAAAAAAATCCGCAATTAAACTTTCTCAAAAAAATTAAATCCACAAAATTGTTAGTTAAAAATATGAAAAATTCAGATTTTCAAAGATTTTAATTTGACCTTTTCAAAATTCAATTATTTCTAAAAATTCACGCTCTACTGTTTTTAATATTCAATTATAATATAATATTTCAATTAAAATTCATTTTTAAATCAATTTTCATTACAAAATTTTACTAGAATTGAATTATTTTAATACAAAATAAGAAATAATTTATTGAATAATTGAATGTTTCTTAAAATTCAATTATCATAAAGAATTTGATCAAAACAATTTTTAAATAGGGTCAATTGGGGTAAATGTAAACGGAATATCTATTTTTCACCAAAAAAATTAGTTTTCTTTGTTAAAAGGTAAAACGGACGGATTTCTTTGGCATGAACTTGTTACTAGAGTTCCCTAGAAAAATTTTATGAGGTACAAAAAAATATTGATGCACCTGAATCGCCTAAAACTGGCTGTTTACATTTACCCCGAGATTTTGAAATTTTCCTAAAATTCGGGGTAAATGTAAACACCACTGTAGTTAAGCGAGGTTTAAAAAACAAGTTATTTCAAGTATACCTGTTTTAAGGGATGGAAAAACTGAAAAAAATTTCTTCGTAGATGTGTAGTTAATCAACCAGTTGACTGATAATGTATCATATAAAATAAACAATCAACCATTACAAAATTAGTAATGTAAAAACTTGAATAACTTGAACAAATTTTAATAGATTTTCATTCAACTTGGTAAACAGAAGTTTTTAAGGTTCCCGTGTAGAAATCACCATGCTATGCCTAAAATGATTATTGGCCCTAGCTTGGACCTAACTTGGCAACCCCTTTTTATATATCCTAGGCTGGTCCTAACTTGGTACTAGCTAGGAGATCCAGTTATGACTTAGAAAAATTTTTAGGAAAATAAAGTGTCAAAATTGATACATGAAAAACATGTAAAAATTGATAAATATTCTCAATTAATATTTATAAAATTAATTGATAATCACATTTGTTTAAACAATTTATTGTTTGACATAAATCAGAAAATTATACAAATACTATAAAATAAAGTTAATTTATTAATTTATTAATTCAGCAATTGTTTAAACAAATAATTGTTATTTACTAACTTTTTACACAATCAACCTAGAAACTAGCAGTTTTTTCTAATTTTGCAATAAGTAAATACTCAGATTAGTTAATTGCAAAATTTTAAAAGACTACAAGTGTCTAGACGCTTTATTGTCTTAAGAATTAATAAATAACAACAATTTTTTGTTTAAACAAATGCTGAATTGTTAAAATTATAAATTATCTTCATATTTCACTACTCAAGTGTAATAATCGCGAAGTTAGATAAAAACTGCAAATTTTTAAGTAATTTGTTACAAAAGTTAATATAACAGCAAAATTTATTTATTTATTTAAACAGATACAGACTGCAATATAATTATCATTAGTAAAATATATTTCTAATTTCGTTCGCTGATTTTAAGTTTCGTTTAAGTTGGTGCTAAACACTAAGAGATATTGCAATTCGAATGTGGGCTGACCCACCCAGGTCTAACCCAGGACCTACCTGGGCTTCCTAGTTTCATTAACAAAAATTTCTAAGTCCAAGTCTAAAAAATTTTTGCAACAAAAAATTAATGCTTAAAATTGTTTAGAATAATGAAAAACGTGTTTTTAACATAAATTTTTTTGACATTTTTTTAAAAAGTGGATCACCCGCTTAATTAATTAGGAAAAATTTCCAAGTCCAAAAGACGAATATTTTTTTTAGACCAAGAAATTAATGTTGAAAATGATTGAGAACAATGAAAAACCTGTTTTTAACGAAAATGTACAGATATTTTTTTTCTTGATATAATATAAAAATATTAATTTTTGAATTTTTATATTTGGATATTATTTTATTATTATTGTTGTTGTTAAACTATTTTTTTATTTATTATCGTGTATTAGTGTCAATAATTACTATATTGAATCATCAAAAGCAAGTCCACAAGTCACTGACAATAAAAATTTTCATCTCAACTAGTTTCATTAGCATAGTGGTTAGGGCGTTAGTCTCGTAGTCCGTAGGTCGTAAGTTCGATTCCCGCGTGCGTTAGATTTTATTTACTTCTTAGGTTTGCGTTTATTCCGATTTTTCTGCATTGTATTCGTATAAGTATGCAATTTAATGATTATATATACTGTAAAATAATTTAATTAACAAATTTCTAATTTTTTTTATAATTTTTAATGTATATATTAGAGGAATATATATTAATCTCTACATATACTAACATTATTTATGAATTCGCTTTTGGTCATCACTTAATTGAAAAAAATAATAATTAATTAAAACTAATACTTATTATTAATAATTTAGGTTATTTCTTTAACAAATATTATTAACTAATTAAAATTATAATGAAATAGAAAATACTGTCTGAGATGGTCCTTTCTAGGTCCTAAAATGGACCCATAAACTGGTCCTAACTAGGCTCCCAAGTTAGGACCAGGCTAGAATCGCATCATCACCCATTGTTGGTCCAACCTACACTGCCAACCTAGGACCAAGCTATTAACAGGGCAAAATAGGTAGGACCTGGCTAGGACCAATTTTCATTTTCCACACGGGTTGCTGAATATGAATCTAAAATCGAATTTTTAAATTTCAAAATGGTGGATCGAATATGGCGGATGAACCTAAAAATAATATTTTTAAAAATTGATCAAATTTGCTTGAATCTGGCTACTAGGGGGTTTTTGAGGTCGCTGAATACGAATTTGAAGTCAAATTTTAAATTTTCAAAATGGCGGATAAACCTAAAAATATTTTTAAAAATTAATCAAATTTTCAAAAAAAAAAAAATTTTTTTTTTTTATCAAATTTTTCTTTTCAAAGAGGACCTAATTTCCTTTTCTATGTAATTTTACATTGCCAAAGTAATGAAATTGTGAAATACAAGCAAATTTATTCAATTATTTTCTTTTAAAATGTAGTTGAAGTTCTGTTTACATTTACCCCGAGTTTTCGAATTCTCGGGGTAAATGTAAACACTTAATTATTTATTAAGTAAATTGACGAAAATCAAAAATCAAAGTCAATTTTTGTTAGGGCATTAATAAGGAAGAATGACATATTTTTGTTTGATTTTTAAATTTATTTTTATGCAAATGCGAGACAAAATACTGAAACAGTAAAATTTTGATTTTCAATCTTTTTTGCATTAAAAGATAACTTACAGTATGGCATTGCCAATTGTCAAAATAAAATATTGACAATACTCAGAACATCTTGTAGGTGAGCTGAGGTAAAAATTTTGACGTCGTACTTATTTTTTAATTTGTAAATTTAGCTGAAACATCTACTGTTTACATTTACCCCAAATGACCCTAATTGAATTCTCTTGACGAATTTTAAGAAAATACGATTAAAATTGTGTTAAAAATAATAGAAATTCAGCAATGAGTTTTATTATTATTTATGAAAATAATTGAATTCTTGTAAAACTTTTATTAATTACGAAAATAATTGAATCCTAGTAAAAATTTTATCATTTATGAAAATAATTAAATGTTTGCGATTTTGCGCACAATTTTATTAAAATTTTTTTTAAATAATTGAATTCTTTTGGAAAATTTAGATATTAAAAATCATTGAATTTAAGGAAAATTTTTGAAAATAATTATAATATTGCCAAATATTTTATTAAAAATTTTTTAAATAATTGAATTTCGGAGAAGAGTTTGTATTAAAAAATTCTACGAGAATTCAATTATTTAAATTCTAAAATAATTAAATGTTTCTGAAAATTTAATTCAAAATGAACTTTGTCAACAAATTTTTAAATTACTGATTTAATTTGACGAAT